AATTAGTACACACTTAATGATGCTGTCCCTTCTGTGCTGTAATATGATACACACATATACGCTCAGCTGTTTCCTTAATCTGACTGTTCTCCTACTGTACACGATCTTTATATCTTTGTTAACCTTGAACCTTTGTTCTGTCTTTACTGACGGATTTAATCTCATTAACTGTGTTTTCGGGTTGGTGATTTTCAAACCTCCAGATTCCTCCGCTCGCCCTCGTTATGTCTCCATTCTTAATGAGGAGCGGCACTAATTCCCTTCAGTTTCTGTGTCTGCTGAATAAAACAAAGGCAGAGCAGAGGAGAGCGAGAGGGGAGAGGAAAACGTTTGAGATGACGTCCGCTGGGGTTGTGGGAGGAGGGAGGCTGCAGATTATAAAGGCGTTGAGAGTGTTTAATTAAAAAAGTTGCTCTGGTGGGTTTGGCCGTGCTCTGGTCTGAACGGCGGTCGCAGTCCTGCTTAAATTCCAGCTAAAACATGGCTAATCCCCCGTCAGGCCGCTGCCCCCCCCCCCTCCGACTGGGCCTCGGTGCACACTTCCAGCCGTGAAGGGGGCCAATCAGGAGGAACAGCTTTGACTGAATGTAAATGACCCTTGAGAGCGCCGCAGCCGAGGTCTTTGTCTCCCACCCATTCTCCTCATGTGCGTTTTTTTAAACTCGTGCAACAAAGGAGATCTCTCCTCGCCGCCCGGGCCTCTTTTTAGAGGATTCCCATGGATGGAGCTTCCAGGAGAGAAACCTAATTTATTTTGGAACGAGGGAGAGAAAGAAAGACAAAGGAGGAATGTGAAAAGAGCAATGGGAATTTCCTTTTGAGTCCACTGAACACATTATTAATAAGAGGACGCTCTGTGATACTGTGTGTTGGGACACCTTTTGCAAAAAAAAAAAAAAGAAAAACCGCCCTGACATCAACGCTCAGCAAAAAAGACTTGAATCTTAGATGTGATACACTCGTACGTCTCTTTTCTGTTTTTGAATCTTTTAGCTGAACAAAGTCTCAGAGATTTTATTCTAATATTCAACAGTCGAAATGCAAAAAACACCCACAGGGGATGTGAGTTTGCTGCTGCAAGATCATATGAAAACAGCTCACAAAGAGGAATCTGTTGGATCTTTATTCCACACACATGCAAATACAAACAAAAACACACACAAACACACTGGGCTCCGCTGCTCTCATTATCCCAGCTCTGTGAGAGCGGGGCTTGTTTGTAAACTGGGTGAATCCTCCACTGAGGGTGTGTCCTGTGCATCGGCTGATCGATGGTTCTGATGTGAAAAGTGTTTCTGATCAGCCGCGGTTGTTATTGACAGCGGCCGGGGCTCCGCTCGCCCGGGGGACGCCACACTTCAAAAAAGATCCCAAGATACTTCTCTGATTCAGAGACAAACGAGGGAGAAATGTATAGATCCGCTGTGCGCACACACACACACACACACACACACACACACACACACAGATGTATAAGGATTCACCAGTATGGCCTCAGGCTCTGTGCAGCTTCTGCTGATATAATTGCTGAGTATAAACCCAATATTGAGCTTTATTGTTTACCTCTATTCCTTCAGAAGGAACCATCATGGTATGAGCTCATCTCTCTGAAGCTGTTCCTCACATGGAAACGTTCGGAAAATTTGGTCTTGAGTTTGTCTTCCGCGTGTGAAGAGGCAGCAGGGGGTCGTCCGACTCGTCCGAGGCGGGACATGACGTATACATTCTGCTGCGGAAACATCAGTGTTGGACACTTCCTGGACGTGTCACCAGGGAAATGTCCTCCAGAGTATTTCGTGAAAATGTTCGGACTTGAGTGCAGCTCTAAAAAAAAGTCTTTCAGGATTTGATAACAACCTCTTCCTCGTCTTCCTCCTCGACCTCATGCTCTCTTCCTCCCTCTTCACCCAAACAACAACTCTCCCCCTCTCCCTGGCCTCTTCCTCTTGTCTTCCTTCCCTCCCACCAGCTCTCCATACATCCCTGCGTGTTTG